AGGAGCTGTATCGGTAAAGATATTGCTATGACAAATGTCTGCTATTTTGCTGCCTATGGCTTCTTCTAAGATTTTTATAGTTTCCCATCTTCTATTTAATTCCTTTATTCATTTTGAGTTTATTTTTGTGTATGGTGTAAGTTGGTCATTTTTTTGCATGTATCTGTCCAATTTTCCCAATAACATTTATTGAAGAGACTGACTGTCTTGACTCCGTTTTATGCTCTCGCCTCCTTGGTCAAATATTAAGTGAGCATAATGGCTTCTGTCAATTTCTGGGTTCTCTGTTCTGTTCCATTGGTCTATATGTCTGTTCTTGTGCCAATACCAGGCAGTTTTGAGAACAGTGGCTTTGTAGTATAGCTTGATATCTGGTATTGTGATCCCTCCAACTTTGTTCTTCTTTCTCAAGGTTGCTGCAGCTATTTGGGATCTTTTTTTATTCCAGATGAATTTTTGCAGTTTGTTCTAGGTCTTTGAAGTATGCCTTTGGTATTTTAATGGGGATTGCATTGAATTTATACATTGCTTTGGATAGTATGGACATTTTAATGATCTTGACTCTACCAATCCAAGAACATGGCATATTCTTCCATTTGTTTATGTGTTCCTCTATCTTTTTTTTAACGTCCTGTAATTGTCTGAGTATAGGTCCTTTACCTCCTTGGTTAAATTTATTCCTAGGTATCTTAATCTTTTTGTTGCAATGGTAAATGGGATTATTTTTTTCATTTTTCTTTCTGTGAATTTATTATTGGTGTATAAAAAAGCCATATACTTTTGGGTGTTAATTTTGTATCCTGCTACATTGCCAAATTCATTTATTAAGTCTAGTAGTTTTTTGATGGAGTCTTTAGGGTTTTCTATGTACAATATCATGTCATCTGCGAATAATGACAATTTTACTTTTTCTTTTCCAATTTGGATGCCTTTCAATATGTCAACATAGTTAATGCTTTTAAAAGCTACTATGCTTAAGAATAATAATAATATTGAGCACTTACATTGGATAAGACCACATGCTAGGTGTTTTTCATAGAATATCTCGTTTAATCTTTAAACCAACTTTATCAGACAGAAACTATTACCCTTATTTCCAGAAGAGGAAATGGAGGCTTAGAAATATAAAGTAGCTTCTCTGATTGTCACAGTGCTATAAAGGGAAGAAATTGGGCTTGAAAACAAAATCTGTCAAAATCCAATTCCTGTGATCTTAACCACACTCAATACTTCACTTAAAATCTTAATTAGTATAAAGAACACTAAACTCTTAAAGCTTTTCAGAATATAGAATGAAATAAATTCAATAAAATTTCTTTAAACATTATATACTTTTAAGTATCATATAGTGAAATAACTTACTAATTACCAATTCTGTCTATGTCATTAAAGCAAGTCCCTTCCTCTGCTGGCTACTTTATTAACCTACTCTAGTTACTCTTTATATTTAAACATAATAAAACTCAATTTTTTACAAAAATAAACCCGTAATTCACCCTTACCTAAGACTATCTTCAATCCTCAGCCCAAATTCCTGAGTTTACTATCCTATCTAATAAAAGACAAAAAGGGTAATTGACCGTACCTTCGCTACGCTTCCTATTGGCTAATCAGGGCGATATGCAAATTAACCGCCAACAAAGATGGCGGCCGGCAGCCACGCAGCTGAAGCGAGCAGGAGGCTTGCTTGCTCCACTATGGAGGAAGCCAAGGTTCCCCGCCTGCCGCGGCCCGGCTCTGAGCTCCGAAAGCAACAAAGTTTCAATTATAGAAGCTAAACAAACCCCAGATACCTGCTTTCAGCAGGCCGTGGCCTCAGAGCTGGAGCGAGCAGGACGGCAACAAAGTTTCAATTATAGAAGGTAAATAAATCCCAGACTAAAAAAAAGAAACAAAGGAGAGGCTGGGAGCTTCAGTTGCCGATCAGCCTGAAAACAGCTCTCAGCCCCTCACCCAGACTGGCCAGGCACCCCAGTGGGGACCCCCACCCTGAAGGGGGTGTGACTAGCTGCAAATAGCCATCAGCCCCTCACCCAGGCTGGCCAGGCACCTCAGTGCGGACCCCCACCCTGAAGGGGGTGTGACTAGCTGCAAACAGCCATCAGCCCCTCACCCAGGCTGGCCAGGCACCCCAGTGGAGACCCCCACCCTGAAGGGGGCGTGACCAGATGCAAACAGCCATCAGCCCCTCACCCAGGCTGGCCAGGCACCCCAGTGTGGACCCCCACCCTGATCCGGGACACCCTTCAGGGCAAACCAGCCGGCCCCCACCCATGCACCAGGCCTCTATCCTATATAGTAAAAGGGTAATATGCAAACTGACCCTAACAGCAGAAAGACGGAATGACTGGTCACTATGACACACACTGACCACCAGGGGGCAGACGCTCAATGCAGGAGCTGCCCTCTGGTGGTCAGTGTGCTCCCACAGGGGGAGCCCTGCTCAGCCACAAGCCAGGCTGATGGCTGCCAGTACAGCGGTGGTGGTGGGAGCCTCTCCTGCCTCCTCAGCAGCACTAAGGATGTCCAACTGCAGCTTAGGTCTGCTCCCCAGCTGCCGGGCTGCCAGAGGGATGTCTGATTGCCATCTTAGGCCCAATCCCCTGGGGAGCAGGCCTAAGCCAGCAGGTGGTCATCCCCTGAGGGGTCCCAGACTGCGAGAGGGCCACAGGCCGGGCTGAGGGATGCCCCCCCCCCCAAGTGCACAAATATTTATGCACCAGGCCTCTAGTATTTTAATAAAAAACAAATGATTTTATATCTTTCTAATCATAAGGTCTTATTATGGAACAAATTCACACATGTCTGTGCATGCGCACACATGCGCTAACACAAACACCTTGTGTGGAACTTTTCTATCCTTCTACTGAACTTTGGCTAAAAGCTGGCTACTGCTGCCAATATATTCAGGGCCTACACCTATTTATCTTCGACATATGCTTTCTATTAAAGTTGCAAAGAATAGGACATGATGATGAATTTTAAATTGCACATTTAGGCAGAAGATGACTTGTGTAGATAACTGGAATAGTACAGTTTCAAATGTCTTCCCATCATGTTTCTTTCTCTTTGCCTTTAACCAGTAGGTGAAGTCTTTGCTTTTTAATATAATTTTATGTCCAAAAAAGAAAATGAATGCATATTACCATACAAATGTAACATCAATTTAGAAACACAAATTATAAGCTCTTTCATTACATGATCATATGAAATAATATTCAGGAAAATGTTCATCTATAATCTCTTCATTTTACATATATAACTTTCTGTGTGACTGCACACTTTATTATATGATCTCATTCTAAAAGAGAGTATTATAAATACAAGAAAAGGGATAGAGCTAAGCCAAAAGTGAAAAAATTCTTTGACTTTTATGCTATGAAATCTCAAATCCTGTGATCATTTTTTGCATAAATTTATATAACTAGGAATGGCACAACCAAGCACAGTTCAATAGCCTATCTAGTCTGATATCCTGCCTCTGACAGCGACCAACTCTGGATGCCTCACAGGACAGCATAAACACATAATGTATATAATTATGTACCACTACGCCATTACTCCAGATGGTGGTTAGATGATATCCTGAAAGAAATGAAAACAAATCAGAACCCTTATCCCTTCCCTACTCTACAATTTCCCAAAAGGTGATGGGAAACCTCAAAGCACACATTTTACCATAAAATAAGCCAATGCTTTGGTAACATAATGACCAAGAAATGATCTCCTAAAATGAAAAGTCCAATGTAGAAATAGAATCTTAGCTCATCAAAACTCATGATTTGTAAAGGGGGATTTCAATGGATTGAAAAGTATCTAATTCACTCAATTATAATTATATACAAAACAGATGAGCAAATTTTACTAAAGCTTTAAAAAACTCTATCTTTTATCCAACCCATACATTTTGTGATATGTAATACTGTTTACTACAAACAATATAAAATTTGTATTTTTAACTCTTCAGAGAAATGATATTCACACTTTTGTAATGGTTTTAAAATAAGGCTTGGATTTATTACATGTTCATCTAAGTGTGCAGAACCACAAAATGAAAAAATCTTGGTTTAGTCTTTCAGGAAGTGCTATTTCCTAAACAATCACAGACAAAATAAATGCACTCTACTATTAAAGACTTTTGGCAAAGATAATTCTCTTCCTAAGTATACCTGGATATTGATCTAACAATGCTTGTAGTCAGGAAATAGTTTCTGACCTAAGTCTTTCATGGTATAATTTTTATTCATTTTCTCTTTTTCTGTCCTCAAATAAGTTGTAAAAGATTAGGTCATATCATATTTTATATACTTAAAAGTCCTTAGTAAGGACTCCTTTTCCAAGTAACTGCATTAGAGGGTGATGAACCAAGTAATAGTCTTGTGCTGCATTGTCTTATAATTTTTATATGCTGTATGTCGTAACCCAAAAGACAAATCTCAAAAACTACTTACCCATCATTTTTACCGAGCACTACTCTGTCCCCATTATAACACGCTTTCTCAAAAAATATATATATATACTTCTATTTCAGAGCCTAAAAAATTCAGAAAGGAACTTTATGGGAGCAAGAAACAATGCACACAAAATTCCACAAAGACACTGCTTCCTTCCCTAGAATAGGGGATCATTTAATGAAATGTATCTCCCAAAATCTCTGGGGCAGAGAGAAACTGTAGAGCAATATCATAAAATCTGCAGCTGTGTTGCTGTTCTTAATAGGCCGCGCTGTTTCCTTAGACCTCAGGAAGCCAAAACACACAGTCAGAGCAGAACTTACCTTAACAGGAATTGGCCAAAGCAGCACAGCAGTTAAGATAGATCAGCATCAAAACTGTTATTGAAAAGACTGTACACATCTTTAGGAATTTTCTCTTCAAGCAATTTGCTTACTCCAGGAAGCTGTATCTATTTATGTTTCCAAACATTGACATTTTTAGAAATAAAAACGATAGGATAGGCAAATAAACTTTACTATATATTGATAAGCATTAATAACTTACTTTTATTGCCCACCAAGGCAATCAGTGGCTGAGTTTCCGACTCCTCGCTCACTTTCTTCACCACAGTATACCAGTCTTCTAAATTCTCGAAGCTTTGATAATTTGTAATGTCATATACCAAGAGGATTCCCTGTCCAAAAGAGTTACAGAATATTTGTAATACACTACTTAAAAATAATATTAATACTAAATACTCTAAGTAATGCTTCAGATATGCCTAGAATCATGTAAAAATACAAATGAGGGCTATTCTATATATAAACTTACTTTGATTTAAGCTATTAGCAGACAGATAATACTGAATCTTTTCATTCAAGATAAACCCAAACCAAGTAAAGCAAGCTAAATAATAATTTTATCAAGTTATAAGTGGTTTTCTAGTAAGATATCTGGGATATGCTTGGTAAGTTATAATCAATGTAAGAAAATATGACAGAGGTAGAAAAAAGCTGCAAGGCCTACAATCCTGTCTGTTACTTTCATGAGGTCAAATATTTAAACCTTTCAATAAAAAAACCATCTGCTGCTGCTCTTTTTAAATATTTTTTAAATGGAGATTCCATGACATCCCTTGATAGGCCATTTCAGTGTTTTAACACAATTTTCTTTAAATGAAATAAATCGATTTCCTCTTTTGGTCCTCTGTGCATTTGGAGAACAACATGTGAGTATCCTCCTTGTAATAACCCTTCGTGTACTTGAAGATAGTTAAGAAACTCCTTTACTGTCTCCTTTCCAGAATAAACAAACTCAATTCCCTAAACTTGCCTCAAAGGACCTATTTTCTATCCCTTTAATCATAGTTGTTGGTTCTTCCCAGGACACTCTCCATACAATTTTTTGACATCCTCTTTAAAATGAGCAATGTAAAACTAGATATGATACTGTAATAAGAGCATGAACAAAGCCAAATATAACAGAGGATTGCTTCCTGCCTCTTATATATCATATTCCTTTTAATATATCCCATTATTTTGTGGGGGAAGGAGAAGTATGTACACACAAAAATAACAGTGCCACATTCTTGATTCTTATCCAGTTTGTGGTCAAACACTTAATACAAAGCTCTGCATACAATATAAGTCTGGACCCTAATAGCATTTATGTCTCCTTCTTCTTAGGTTATAATCATAAATGTTGACTACTTTTTTTGCACCTATAATATACTAGACATCTCTAGATCTTTTCATTAATCATCAGAACAAGCATGCAAAGCTGGTGTTATTATTCTCATTTTACTAATAAACAGAGGTTAAAATAACCAAGGTCACAAAGCTAGTTAAGTAATTGAGCCAGAATTTGAATCAAAGACTGAATAAATATAAAGTTCACTCATTCATTCCACAAACATTTGTCTGCCAACTATATGCCTAGCACTGTGCTGGGTGCTAGGGATATAAATTCCAAACCTCCAGGAACTCACAGTCTTGCATCAAAGCCAAGCACAAAAACAGACAAGTATACCAACACAGGAGTCACGGACAGTGATATCTTGGTAAATATTTGCCAATTGGCTCAGGCAATGGTACGGGTGGGGATCGGAAGAGTGTTGTTTGTAGCATTTGCCCATTTCTGTGGTGTAAATACTGTTTGGCCATTTTCAAGTTATCAAAGTCACTTCACTGATCACAGAGTGTGGTAGGACATCACTATATAGCACCTCTACCACACAGGTACACTAAACATAAATAATCTCCAAAGCATAGATAATAAAAATATATAGCAAAATAACCCTAGCTGGTTTGGCTCAGTGGATAGAGCATTGGCCTGCAGACTGAAAGGTCCTGGGTTCGATTCCGGTCAAGGGCACATGCCTGGGTTGCAGGCTCGGTCCCCAGTAGGGGGCGTGCAGGAGGCAGCCAATCAATGATTCTCTCTCATCATTGATGTTTCTCTCTCTCTTCCTCTCCCTTCCTCTGAAATCAATAAAAATATATTTAAATATATATATGTGTGTGTGTGTATGTGTATATATATATATATATATATATATATATAGCAAAATAATTAGTAAGTGAGCATATATTTGTTTTTTATATAATTTGTAAGTTTATATATAATTTTTAACCATAAATGTATTCAACTGGCTCACAAAAATTCCTGAACTTAACAATAACTCTTCCAAACTGGTTCTAGCATACTGCTGTTATGGTCTTCCAGTATCATGCTCTTTTATTAAACTACACTGGCCTCCAAGTCACTTATTCTCTCTGAATCTTGGGTTATTTGCCTCTGAAATTAGATAACTGAGTTAAATCCCTTCCAGTTTAAATATTCTATAATTATTATGCAATATCACTTGCCTGATTCATTTTAGTAACTCAGACATCTATTTCTGTCTTCCCAAATGCACTGAAATAATGCCCAACACAGAATTATCCTATATAAAAAAGGCTAATATGCAAATCGACCAAATGGCGGAATGACCGGTCACTATGGCGCGCACTGACCACCAGGGGGAAGACGCTCAACACAGGAACTGTCCCCTGGTGGTCAGTGCACTCTCACAAGGGGAGCACTGCTCAGCCAGAAGCTGGCCATGGGTGAGCAAAGTGGCAGTGGCGGGAGAAGCCTCAGCAGAACATCCCCTGAGGGCTCCCGGACTGCAAGAGGGAGCAGGCTGAGCTGAGGGACCACCCCCCCCCCCCCAGTGCATGAATGTTGTGCACTGGGCCTCTAGTTTGAAATAATGAGCATAATCCCACTTTTCTTATTAAGAATAAACCCCAGCCCTAACCGGTTTGGCTCAGTGGATAGAGCGTCGGCCTGCGGACTGAAAGGTCCCAGGTTCGATTCCGGCCAAGGGCATGTACCTTGGTTGCGGGCACATCCCCAGTAGGGGGTGTGCAAGAGGCAGCTGATCGATGTTTCTCTCCCATCGATGTTTCTAACTCTCTATCCCTCTCCCTTCCTCTCTGTAAAAAATCAATAAAATATATTTAAAAAAAAAATTAAAAAAAAAAAAAAAAAAAAGAATAAACCCCAGAACTGACCTCTGAAGAAAGCTAATCTTCAATCTACTAACTCCGCCTCCAGTTGTCATGAGTGATAATGCATGTGGTAAAAGAGCTCTGCCCTGGAAGTCAAATTATTGTTGGGTTGTAGCCCTGGCCCTACTATCTACTGCTTTGGGGCAATGCTTCTATCATCACCTTCATAATACTTGCCATGCCTAAGTGACTAAGTGAAGTAATAAAAAATAGACTTATTTTAAAACTAACACACACAATTGCTGGAAATTATTTTTATTATTCTGAGTGAAAAAGAATCACAGTTTCAAAGCAACTTAAAGGTAGTTTTTACACTCATAAATTGAGCCTTGACCTAGGATGACTCTTAAACCTTAAGATTTGAGGAACCATTCTAATTAATATATGCAAAACTTCATCTCAACATGGGTCAATATTTGAACACGATAGAACACACGCAAATAAAACATGGCTACAATCTCTTAATAATCAGTACTAGACAGAGCTATGGAATAACAATTAAATACCATTGATCTAGACCAGGGTTCTATGGCCCACAGGTCAAATACAGTCCACACCCCATATTTTCATTTATGTATTTGTTTTTTAAATATATTTTTATTGATTTCAGAGGGAGATAGAAACATCAATGATGAGAATCACTAATCAGCTACCTCCTGCACACCCTCCACTGGTGACAGAAGCCTGCAACCCAGGCATGTGCCCTTGACTGGAATTGAACCTGGGACCCTTCAGTCCGCAGGCCGTCATTCTATCCACTGAGCCAAACCAGCTAGGGTCCCATATTTTTAAATAAACTTCTAATGAAATATACTCATATTCATTGTTATCAATAACTGCTTTTGCACTACAACCGCAAAGTTGAGTAGCTGCAGCAGAGACAGTAGGGCCTACAGAATCTAAAATAGTTTCTATTTGGCTCTTTAAGGGAAAGTTTACCAATTCCTGATATAGACCAATATGTCCTGTATTTCCCAGTCAGCGATACCTATATATCTTCCAGGACTCAAGAAAGATAGAAGGATAAGCCTTTTTCATTAAACTAGCTATCAACTCAAAAATCTATCTGTTCATATGCCAATTCTCAACAGCATTCATGTAAAAACTACAATTTTATCTCTGCTCCTAAGATGACAATTCTGTACCAGTTTTGACCTTCACCTCTATGGTGAAAAATTGAGAAGGGAAAACAAGAAAACCAAAAACACTAAAATACAAAAGAAATTCCAGGCCAGAAGGGTACTATATTAATCAGGTGATCACTTCATTAAGTATATAAATGTCTAACCACTATGTTGTACACCTGAAACTACTGTAATACTGTATATCAACTGTAATTGAAAAGTAATTTTTTAAAAAATAAAGGGGAAAAAAAGAAATTCCAGGGCTTTCGGTTTCACCTCCAACAGGTAAAGAGCTTGGAAGTTGTCACATTTGTCCTACAATCAGAAAAGAAAGCTAAACAAACAGAAAATAAATTACTTTTCTTGGATATAACAGAGCCGAGTTTGGCAGGTAATTTCCACCCTGAAATCTGGGAAGAGAAGTAAATTCAGAGAGTCATAACCCAAATCTGCTTACCTAGAGCAGAAACCATCAGAGCCAGTAAATGGTAGAAACATTTAAATGATAAATTTGATAAAATGCTGAAGGTTGAGTATGGTCTAGCTTGAAAATTCCTGGGGGAGTGAATTTTATCTCCAAGAAGCCCACCAGATCCTCGTAAAGAATCAAGAAAGATTCCTTCCTGGCTCTGGCATGGGAAGGGAGAAAGTAACCATTGTAAAATATGCACAGAGCATTATCCATAAAAAGAGACATTCTCACCAAGAGAAAAGGCTTAATCAGAGTCTTACCTGATGACATGGAGGAAGGGCAGTTCCTAATTACAGCCCTCTCTATCACCCTGTATCACCTAAGTGGGAAGAGCTAAGAAACACCTGTGAAGGTCACAGCCCAGGGTCACAGGCCACCAAAGGCCATGACTTAATCATAAGAGTACAGAATGTTTCCCCTCCCTCATACTTTACCAAACACCAACACAGCTGCAGTATAATAGTAGTGGATTATAGCTGAAAAAGCTACAAGACACAAACTTCAACTAAGAAAGAATTCTTTAAGACACCCAGAAAAAAAGGAG